CAGTTGCTTGCCCCCCCTGTCTCGTACGCCTGTCAAATAAATGATGGAAACCTCGTGTTATTCGGCAGGTGCTCTGATGATAAAGCGCGCATCAAAACAAGTCAGTTTTATAGAGTTAGGAGAGTTGTATGAATTAAATGATATATGGCAGTTCAGTACACTAAAAGATGTTGAAAAGCCTGAAATGAATGACTTTAAACATTTCTATTTATTATAGTATTAAAAATAATAAGAGTAATTATGGACCTCGAGTACTTGTATATAAATGAGAATTATAGATGTTACCATAATATTGTGTCAGAATTGTGAAAATTAAAAATAAAACAAGAAGCATTGAAACTCAGGCAAACACGCGATTTTTGAGTGAATGAAATACGAATAGAGTGTAGTGATGATCAGGGCTCATTAATTTTTTTATTGCCTGCGAGCAAAATTCATAACTTCAAAATTGCATATGACTTTTGTGATGCAAATTTGTCAAAACAATAGTCAATATGGAGTGTATGGCCAACAAAGAGAACTGGCTTTTATTGTTGTGAATTTGTTGACTAGCAACTGTTCAACGAACAAAACAACCTGTATATATTGACAAACACTGCCAATGAAAATATTGATCCATCACAGAAATTCTGTTTAATTACGCAGTGGAATATTAAGATCCCAAACTCTTATAAATTTCGAATTCAGCCAGTCAAAGAAACGTCAACTGAATAAACACGGGTTCCAGTCCTGACTGACAAATTTCTATGACGCAATTTTAGTTTTAACATCGCCAAATGTTCCGATAATTACTACTGAATGGAGATTTAATAATTGTTAAATAATGATTCATTTGTGATTCCGAAATAACTTGGCATCGCCTACATCTGTAGGAATATATCTGCGAGACATTTTCATAATATAAACTATGATGTATGTAATTTTGAAAACCTTGGTTTATATCATATGTCAGTTCATTTAGTAAAAGAACAATGTAGCTATATTTTTAACGACTGTAATTAATAGTTAAGCGGCTATAAATTGAAGAATATGTTAACTATATAAAGGTTTTCTCGTCACTGAAATCTTCAACGCGAATCACAAACACAATTGTTTTATCATGCAGTAAAAGATAGGTTCACATTACCAAAGTTCCTTTAATCTAACGTAGCGTTAAATTGCATTGTTATACTTTAAAGAAAACATTTAAGAAGTAAATTTGGGTTAAATTAAAGTCAAAATTTTCACTTCATACAATTTGTGAAAGCTTGATTCTTCACAAACTGCCGTGACTGTTTATTCATTTGGCAAAGTTTTCAATCCGCGCACAAGCCATGCACATCAACATCTGTGGAATTTCATGCAACAACGATCGCCACACAAACCTATATGATTGCTATGATATGAAAGACTATAATTAGCAAACCAAAGTCCAAACGTCGCCACAATCATTTTTAAACGTGTTAGGACAGCTAGATGCCCCAAGTATTATTTTGAAAAATTTTGTTTCCCCCTCCCGCAACTCTTCAAAGTGGGGCCTCATTAAGCATCTTATTTTGGTGCGCTAAAGTGTCCGGCATTGGATAAACTACACTGAATGAGGAGGGGAGACATAAATGTTTGTAATATTTTGCATATATCCACTGATACCTAAAACAGCAGGTGTCCCAACAAACTTAGGTAGGTTCTGGTAAACTTTGATTCCACGACGCTAGCTTCATCAACTGACTCAGTTGGTTTCCTTGAGGGGCGTCGGTTACATACTAAAATTATATACAAAAACTATCTGCGAAAATAAAGATCACGACCAACACAAGTGAATTACAAAACAGTCATAAAAAAGACACTTTACATTTGGTGCGAGTCAGAACACTAATAATTTGTTAACTGAAACGAAGCTAGAAACCTATGTTCCTTTCAAGTTATATTTCAGGAATCCGCATTGAAATCTAATCCAGTCCGAATTGGAGGATTTGAAATGACATCTCCTACGAATAAATTACTACTTAATTAATTTTGATTCAGTCCTAGGACTGGATCAATGCCGACTTCATCAGGTATCCAATATTATCATGTGAGCAAAATAAAGCAATATGGTTGGCTAATTTACTCATGAATTATTAATGCGTTTGAGATGTGAGTGATCAGATCCTCTGTGCAAATTTAGATAGCGTCGGTCGTCGGATTGATAGGTCTGCAAAATACAAGGAGAATTTCGACGTTTTGAGCGAAGGCGCTTCGGGTCGGGAAGTTAGTAAGAAGGGCTGCTAACTTCTGGATGAAGAGCCTTCGGCTTGAAACGTCGAAGTTCTCCTTGTATTTTTCATGTAGTTGCTTCCCTATCAATCTGAAGCTTTCTTATTATTGCCACGACCTCCACTGACATAGACCTTTCAAGATTATGTCAATTAGCCATTTCCCAAAGTCCTGGGTCAAGCCGTCGCGCGAATCCCATTTTGGAGGGACAAGAAATATGGCAGCACACATTCAAAATTAAATGTTTAATGTAAAAAGGAGATATTTCATTTTTGGTCGTCTAAATAGTTGATTTTTGATAGTAGATATTTCTACTCTTTCACTTATTTGACGCCTGTCACCATGTATTTTGTCCCTCCAAACGATCCCAGAATGCACTGTGATCTCTTTTGGGACTGGGCTAATAGAGAGGTTACTAAGTCACAGGTACGAGTATCGCCATTTTGTTTACCAATTTTTGCTGATGTCAGCATGTTTACCCGGAATTTCTACCTGTTGGCCGTTTCCCTGCGGTAAACCATGGTCTACACGTAAAACGAGGGTTCTGTTTACTATTTGTGGGCCGTTTAAGTAGTAAAATACTTCAACATCTTACGTAAATAAATCAATCAATGCATATATGCCCCTCAATTTTTCCCAAATCTATGATGTATTGATGAACCTTAACAATGAAAGTTACCATTCTCCGATCGGTTCTCGCACCCCGGAATATTTTGGATTTCTTAAGTTTCATGTGTACCCGGTTTACGGAGTATTTTAATCTCTGTATTGCTAATTTAGCCCATAGTGTAGCCTATTTTTCATGACACCTCTGTTGGTTTTGGAACTGATTAATCAGTGTAGCATGATTTCGAAGAAGATTATAATTGGATTTATGTAATTATGAAGAATATAATTGGATTTAATCCGCGGTTTATGTCAGAACTACATGAAAAGGATTAATAGTATTTCGGCGTTTTGAGCGAGGCCCTCGCCACTAGTATAGTTTAGTTAAAAAGATTCCTGCATTGTCAGTTTCGGTTGAGTCGCATTTAAGATTTGACTCGGGTTATCTATATAGATTCCTTTTGTGGTAACAGTGGACAAAATTTCCTCCAGTGGTCCAATAAGAGATGATCCTTACTGGATCTCCAGGGAGAACAGTCTAGAACTGATAGAGCTATCCGGTATAAATAAAGCCGTTAGTTTCCTCCTGTAGCAACACTGGATCTATAAGAGATGATCCTTACTGGATCTCTAGGGAGAACAGTCTAGAACTGACAGAGCTATCCGGTATAAATAAAGCCGTTAGTTTCCTCCTGTAGTAACACTGGATCCGTATAAGAGATGACCCTTACTGGATCTCTAGAGAGAACAACCTAGAACTCATAGAGCTATCCGGTATAAATAAAGTTAGCGGTTTAGTTCATGTTTCCTCCTGTAGTAACACTGGATCTATAAGAGATGACCCTTACTGGATCTCTAGGGTGAATAGTTTAGAACTGATAAAGCTATATCCGGTATAAATAAAGTTAGTTTAGTTCATGTTTCCTCCCGTAGTAAGACTGGATCTATAAGGGATGATCCTTACTGGACCTCCAGGAAGAACAGTTTAGAACTGATAGAGCTATCCAGTATAAATGAAGTTAGTTTAGTTTAGGTTCCCTCCTGTAGTAACACTGGATCAATAAGAGATGATCCTTACTGGATCTCTAGGAAGAACAGTTAAGAACTGATAGAGCTATCCAGTATAAATAAAGTTAGTTTAGTTTAGGTTTCCTCCTGTAGTAACACTGGATAAATAAGAGATTATCCTTACTGGACCTCTAGGGAGAACAGTTTAGAACCGATAGAGCTAGTTTAAAACTAGTATAAATAAAGTTAGTCAAAAGTTCACTAGTTTAGTTAATAATAAAGAAGCGGCCTTCGCTCTTCGGGCATTTCAAACACAAATTCACAAACCTACAAAGAACTATAAATTTCCTAAATTGTATTTTTATGAAAGAAACTTTGATTATGATTATAAACCGCAATATTTGGTTACTAACGCTCTTAGAACAATGTTCTCACTATGCGCGCAGAAAATTACTTGCTTCAAAGACAAAATCATTTTCCTCGCATAAATTACGACAATCAGTATATTTCGGTATACACTCGTGAACGAAATGCATCAGTTTCTCTTCTGATGAATGCAACACAAAAAGTTATGAAAAAAACAACTTTACTCTATGTGGGAAGCTGTGATTCATCAGTTAAATGTCGTTGCCATCTGACATGTGCTAGGCAGTTAATGACCGCTTTTGATTGGTTAATGAACGTTTGCTAAGATTTACAATCGCCATACGGACAATACAAGCTAGAAGGTTGCAGCCGAACGCATTTATAATGATGTATAAATAAATAAAAAGTTGAACCAAGTTAGCACAAAGTTTCTCCAGCGGTGCAAGAGAAGAAGTTTACGAAACAAAGCGGATAATACGTATTATCTGAGACATTCGTGTTGAATTGCAGAACTCAGCGGGCGGGTGTTTCCCTGGAGCTAGAGATTCGTAAATATTAACTAGTGTTGGCGATCAGTCACGCATGTCAAAAGGCCAAACAAATCGACTAAAGTTTGAGTGTTTCTCTAATTTCACGGCGTACTGCGAGAACTGGACTCGGGCTGTCTGCAGAGCTAGTTTCAACTATCCACAATACTTTGAGAAGTATTCGAACATCACCGATGCCGTTTGTTTGAAAAGACGCAGAATTGTGAGTATATGTATACATATATGTTGTCACTTTATGAGACTAAACTTAGTTGAATATGCCGGTTATACTATACCTCAAAACTACTTTGGGGGTTTAAATGACCCGAAATCTCACATCGAAGCGATTTAAGTCCGTCTTCCTAAAAGTTCACTCGCTTTTGCGCTGTCTTCGCCTAGATTACAGCCACAGTTGGCGAAGTTTTGCATAGTTTAATGTATTCTAATGTGCAATGCTTACTTATACGAAAGTAATATTTGAGAAGCTGCCAGCCAACATACTGTGCAGCATGAAATTCAGTTTAAACTCGGCAAAAAAACACCAAACTAACTTCCCCTTTACTTGAACTATGTGCTCTGAAGCGGAGTTTCATAACTTCTTCGA